ATTAAAAATCGTGTTTTTTGCCCTTTTAGATCAGGACATCTCGAGAACCTTAGGTGATGGAACAATTAAGAAGCCAGACTCGGATTCAACGCTTCGAAATACTTTGAAAATATGTTATCGTGTTTCTGGATTTTTTGTCTGTCGACCTATGTTATTGCTCTATGTATATTTACTGCTGAAGCAATGGGTTAAAAAAAAGCCAATATATTCATTTTAGATACTGACAGTTATTCTGCTCATATTTATTTAGATTCGAAGAGTGTTCTGATGGCCCTACATTCCAATCCATTCTCAGAAGACATTTATTACTTACAATTAGACCTAGATATCAAAAAAATTACTGCTTGAAGCATATCCTAAAAATGTATCTATTAAAATTATTTGGATTCTTTCACATTTGGGATTCAAAGGCAATAAAACTGTAGATTATTGGATTAATGTTGCTAGGGAAATACGTGATATCTCTGAGTCATTCCTTCCTTTCTGTTAAGAATAAAACTATACGTTTGATTATTCTTTTATTTCTGAATGTTGTGCAATCTGTTTATAGTTACTAAGACAACTCGATTTTTTTGTTTGTTTGTTGGAACGTTATTTTTTTCTTCACTTCGATATGAACTGTTATACGCACCTGTCACCTGTGTTCCAACGTATAATTAAAATCTCTTTTTCTTTTCAAGTCTCTTCAAAGCATTATTTATCATAATTTAAACAAATCTGACCGTATTGTTTTAACACTTTCTCAGACCTTTAATTTTGTTGAAATTTTTGAAATGTATAGTGATACATTCAAGCAATTCCTGTAAAAGTTTTGAGCTGATACTGGATTGTTTTAATTGAACAATTTTTATGTTCATAAGTCTAAGCCTTGGTATTCCAGTTGCAATTTTTCTAGATTTCATATAACATTAATTAACCTATTCCCACAGAGCATGAATTAATTCACTGAATTAATTCTTGAATTAACGCAAAGAATTAATATAAAAATAATTTTCTAAGAAAAGAAAATTATTTCTTAATTAATACATGAAATATTACAAAGAAATATTCTAAAATTCTATTAAAAATAATTCAGGTAATGATTCCTGTAAAAATAAACAAATTAATACATGAATTAATTTAGAAAGGATTTTGAAAGGAACCATGAATTAATTTACAACATAAAACTAAAATTATATCTTGAAATAATTTAAAACTATTTCAAAATTATTTCGTGATATGATTTTTGTAAAAATACATAAATTAAATCATTCATTAATGTTGAATTAATCCAAGAAATATTATAGGTTTTAATCTCGAAATTAACGCAACAAATGATTCTGGATTCATTTAAAATTAATTCTTAAATTATATGAAAATGCAAAATTTCGATTCACCCGAATTATTTCAGTAAATAATTCAAAATTATTTCTGAATTAATTCGTGATATGATTTTTGTACAAATAACACATTAATTCACGGATTAATGTTGAATTAGTCCAAGAAAAATTATAGGTTTAAAGTTACAAATTAACGCAAGATATAATTATAAATTAATTATTTTGTTACGAGAGCATCTTTCGAATAGTTCTTATTCGAATATGTATCCGCTGCAACATTAATTTGTATATGTTGTTTGTTTATGTTTGTAATAGAAAACACAGAATAGTTAGTTAACACTTGGTTATCTGTTTGTAAACACTTTTTAAAATTAATAAAGTAAAGTCTAAGTCTTTAAGTTTAAACGTAACAATACATTAATTCTTGCATTATATTAAAATGGAAAATTTTGATTTACCTGAATTATTTCAGAAATTAATATAAAATTATTTCTGAATTAATTCGTGATATGATTTTTGTAAAAATGCACTAATTAATTTACGAATTAACGTACCGATTATCAAAGAAATATTATAGGTTATAATTTCGAAATTAACGGAAGGAATGATTCTGAATTAATTCTGAATTAATTTTTGAATTAAATAAAAATGCAAAATTTCGATTCACCCGAATTATTTCAGAAAATAATTCAAAATTATTTCTGAATTAATTCTTGATATGATTTTTGTAAAAATGCACTAATTAATTTACAAATTAACGTACCAATAATCCAAGAAATATTATAGGTTTTAATCTCGTAAAAAAGCTTTTATACGCATTAATGAGCATATGAAACGTTCATGAAAGTACCTACCTTACCGGCATTTACAGAACTTGAAATATTGCAGAATCAAAGTTAGATTAAAAATAAAAACTTTTTTTTAGGGTGTAGATATATGTCCAAGAATTACTCAGTTCAAATTTCACACAATTCTATAGAGTGGTTCTTTCAAAATTTGATCAAGCAGCACCAAATCTTAATTTCTTCGAGGTGTTATCAGGGGCGTTTCATATCTCCTTAAGGGAATTTTAATTCAGGATTATTTAAACCCCTAGCATTGCGTTAAGCACTTCCATTTTTTATTATTATTCGTTAAAATTGAAAGAAATTCAATGTGAAAATTCGATAAGAAATCTGCTTTATGTAATATTTATAATGTATATCTAATATATATCCATTGTGACGGTAAACATCAAATTAGCGCTAATAATATAACCTAATTGCTGCCTGCGGAGGCAGCACCTACCGGAGAGACGAAAAACGTAACGAAAGAATTCGGCACGCGAGCAGACGGAACGCGCGCGATTGAAATTGAACCAGTGAAGCTTTGACCATCAACGAGTTCGCCGGTGTGTACGAGACCAGCTGTCACTTCCCGAGTTATCGGAGCAGAATTCCGTTCGCAGAGCACCAAGACCTGAGTTCCAGAGATCGTCGCAGTCGAGGTGCCGTGCAGCTCACAAGGGCGAAGGCTTGAACCAGCAGACAAAGGCGCCGTGCGCGGTGATAACGCTAGTGCGTGCGTGAGATTTCGCCATCGAGGGCGAAGCCACGTGCTTTTAAGTTCGCGACTCGCGACACAAACAAACAATAGACCTTTTCCGAGTGCGACTTATTGGTGTCATCTTCGAGCGTCCGCAAAACAAAGGTAAGCTGGCCAGCTTAATCTCGCGATCGTGGTTGCATGTATAACAATTAATTTCTCGTGTTCGAAGCGTGCATGCAATAGCTCTGTTAACAAAGAGCAGCGAGCGTCCCGACACTGTGTGTTCTCGATGAGCGAGCGCTGATGTCAACATAAACTCGCGGGCAGATCCAGTGTAATATTTGATAGACAATAAAAGATTCTGTTCGTGTTATTAACAAGTGCTTTCGACTCGCTTACTCCATATTGCTTCCACTCATTTTCTTAGATTAGTAGATCTATTGGTTGACTGACACCTGTTTCCCCATGCTCTCCGGATTATGTATTAAAGCATAGATGATTACATTCGCCCTTCAATAAACTCGCGCGAATAAAAATAATTAAACGGTAAGAAACCCCGTTACACCATATACTAGATAATATTAAAGTAAACATTAAATAAAGTACTGTACGTTTATCAATTATTTTATTTCGTGTTCTTCCATAATTATATAAAATATAGCACTTTTAATAATTTTTCAAATTTTACTTATATATTCAGTAAATAATTTATTTATAGTATATCTAGTTGTGTTATATAATTTTAAATATTTTTTATAATAATTCTAAAAGTAATTAGATAGTATTTTATAAAATAATTCTTGTGAAATGGATATAATCTTTTAAAATTATTTCAGTGAATCAATTCTGTATTAATTTTACGCCAGCTTTTTATTACTTAAGTATCATTTTGAAAATTAATTTTGAAACAATTCAAAACATTCTTACTGTAATGATTTCAAAATTATTATGATAATATTTCATAAAATAATTCTTCTAAAATGTATGTAATATTTGAAAATTATTTCAGTGAATCAATTCTGTATTAATTTTATGTCCGCTGTTTATTTCTTCAATATTAATTTTAAACATTAATTTTGAAACAATTCAAAATATTCTAACTGTAATAATTTCAAAACTATTACGTTAATATTTCATAAAATAATTCTTCTAAAATGCATGTAATATTTGAAAATTATTTTAGTCAATTAATGTAGTAATAATATTCGTTATATTTCTAAAGGAAAAAAAACGGACATAAAATTAATACAGAATTAATTCATTGAATTAATTCTAAAATAATTATATTATTTCATGAATTAATTTTGAATTATTTTAGAATTAATTCATGCTGTGTGGGTTGAGATGTAACTACTATAATTTAGGTGTTAGTTTATTAGGTTAGCTAGTTAGGTCGAAAAAATTTAAGTAAAAATGAATATTATGATATTTGTATTAATATTAAAGAAGATATTGAACACGTATCATGGACACGTCCAAGGTTTCTATTCACAAATATTTGTCTTGATTAAATGTCTCCATAAAGCCAGAGTCCCTTCACCTTATAATTTAATATCGATATTAAAACATTTCAATAGTAAAATATACAAATTTACTGAAATATCGTTCTTTAACTGTTGTAAGGAAAGGCGGAGGAAACCAAAACGCACACACGAGTTACAAAAGATGTTTATTACTGCTTTCTTCTAAGCGGTCGCAGAAGGAGTGAGCTCCTTGCTTATACAGAAACGGCGGCTCGATGGCCTAGTCTTGAATGCACAGTACACACACAAAGCACGCGCATGCGCATACATAGGAAATGCTGAGCAAGTTGATTTTAACACTCCCTCTCTTGCTTTGCATTGCATATGTCCAAGTACAAAGAATTTTTTTTTTTTAAAAAAAACAAATAAAGCTTTAAATACAAACAAAAAAAAACTTCTAAATACAAAAATTATAAATACAAACGAAAACTTCTAAATACAAAAATTTTAAATACAAACGAAAAACTTCTAAATACAAAAATGAACTGGCTTTTTCTTATAATTAACTTAATTCTTTCTTCTAAATGAAATTCTTCTAAATTCATCTACCTCGATCATCAACGTCTCTCATTCAGCATTATTAGTAACAGCTACCTCTGAAAAATTCAAAAGGAATTTTTATACATATATATCAGTTGTAATGGTTCAGCAATATATTTCTGTATTTTCTAAAGGGCTGAAGAGAAAGTGGCTTAGTAAATATATCAGCAACATTATCATGTGTAGATACCCCTCTAATACTGACTTTACCTTCTAAAACACACTGCTTCACGAAATCTCCATGAGTATCAGACAATTTTCTTTTAACACCAGTTCTTTCCCTTTCAACCAGATGTTTCTTAATCTCTTCTAAAGTATCATCAAAATCTTTAAGTTTATGGCTACCCTCCTTTTGGGTACAATCTCTGGCAGACTGATTATCACAGTAAAGAGTAACTGGATACATGGTGTAGCCTAATATATCTCTTAATGCCTTATCCAACGAAATGATGTCTTTGCATACCTCACTCATCGCCAAATACTCTGACCCACAGGTTGAAGAAGTTACCAAAGTTTGTTTATGACTTCTCCATGCAACAGTGTCTTTATATAATGAAATGACCATGCCACTAGTGGAAGTGGAATCTGGCCAGTCTTTAAAACTTGAATCAGAGTAGGCTTCCAAAGTGTCACCATCACTTCTAAATGTAAGTCCTAACTCAGCTGTTCCCTTTAAGTACCTAAGTACTCTTTTGACGTCTAACCAATCTTCCTCGGAGGGATTAGATTGCTTACGCGAGAGGAAATTTACTGCAAAGGAGATATCCGGTCGTGAAGCATTTGCCAGGTAAGAAATACATCCAATGACCTCTCTATATGGAACATCTAATTTTCTCATAGTCTTATCTTGAACTTGATTGATTTTCTTGCTTCTAGCTTGTCGAGTGACCATAGGTGTTTCGTGTGGATTACAATCAGTCATTCCAAACCTTTCTAACACCTTGTAAACATACTCTGTTTGATTGATTTTCAATATTTTGCTACCTCTATCTCTCTTTATGGTCATACCTAAGAATTGTTTTGGTTCGCCCAAATTTTTCATTTGGAAGACGCCGCTCAAATGATCTATTATTTCTTTTAATTTCTTTGAACAATTGCTCGCCGTAATAATGTCATCCACATACAAGACTAGAAAAACAATAATCCCTTTATATCTATAAGTAAACAAGCAGGGCTCATTAATATCCTTTTGCAAACCCAGTTTTAATACTTCTTCTGTGAACCGTTCATTCCACTTCTTGGGACTTATTTTTAAACCATACAGTGCTTTATGTAATCTACAAACTTTAGTCTTTCTAGTGAATTCATCTACTTCTAAACCCTCTGGTATTTCCATATAGATTTCTTCATCTTCATCTAAAGTACCGTTTAAGAAAGCTGTTTTTACGTCTAACTGGCGGACTTCTAAATCCAGCTTGTTTATAACAGCTAGAGCTGCTCTTATAACCGGCAGTCTAGAAACTGGTGCATATGTTTCTCTGAGCTCATAATTATTTTTATCCATAAATCCTCTAATAACGAGCCTACCTTTTCTGTTCAATATATGTAATTTATCTAATTTCTTCTTAAATACCCATCTAGAATCGATAACGTTTGCTCGTTTACCATTCTTCAAGACTGTTGGCCTGTCCACCAAACTCCAAACTTTGTTTATTTCCATTGATTTCAACTCTTCTTTAACTGCTATAAGCCATTCACCTTTGTCTTCCATACTCATTGCTTCTTTAAAACTAATGGGATCATGATTTACAACAGCTAAAAGAGCAAATGCTGACTCATCTTTATCTCCTGAGCCAATGCCTACTATTTTACTTAAAAACGCAAAGCTGGTATCTACTACCATTCGAGCATCAGGAATTCCTTTATCCATGGCCTTATAGTCTTTGGCAGTTTTTACATTTCTTTTCGGTTGCTTTCTCACGGGCTCTACACCTATAGTTTGTTCCGTAGATCGGGTCTTCTTATTCTCTTTAGATTCAGGTATGACTGAACTGTCAACTCCCATGTTTTGGTTTAATGTCTGTTGTAGGTTTTTAAAGTTGTTTTCTTCGACTTCTAATATTTCTAAATTATCTCCATATAAATGCACTGTATTTTCTTTTACATCTTCTAATTCACTATCCTTTTCAAAAATTCTTTTGTTCTCAATATTTTTGTATGTAAGTTTTTCTTTGATTTTAACATGTTTTGAGTGAACAAATTTGCCCGAGCTGGGGTGCCAAAGTATATAACCATTTGATGTCTGACCTACCAGCACACCTTTAATAGCTTTGGCTGAGAATTTTGTTTCAAGGGCGTGTTTCGCAGCATAAGCAATACTTCCAAACCTTCTAATTTTATCTATGTGGCATTTGCTTTCAGGATTTATTAACTTCAAAGGGATCTTGAAATCAATTGATTTATTAGGAGTTCTATTATACAAGTTTATAGATACATCCACAGCAAACGGCCACATACTCTTAGGCAGATCAGAATCAATCATTAATGACCTGGTTTTCTCAATAAGGGTTCTATTAAATCTTTCTGCGGTACCATTATGTGGTGGAGTGTGTGGGCTAGAAAAATTTGGTTCTATGCCCTCCCTTTTCATTACTTCTAAAAACTTTCCTCCTGTGAATTCAGTACCATTATCAGCTCGGATAAAACTGACCTTTTCATTTCTACCAAGCAGATTTCGTGCACTAATCAGGAAAACCTCTAAACAATCACCTGACTCAGACTTGTGTTTTACCGAATAGGCCAATGCAAATTTGGTGCAGTCATCCACAAAAACTATTATATATCGACATTGATCTGGGAATGAAATTGGTTTGATTGGACCAATGGTATCGGCATGAATCATATAAAGTGGTTTGGTAGCTCTGGTTCTTGTTTCTTTAAACGGTAGTTTCGTCAATTTTGCAAGGATACAGGTCTCACAGTTCATTATATTTTCGTCGAATTTTATTCCTTTCAAATTTACATCTAATTTCTGCAATTCTTTGAGATAAGCTAACGAAGGGTGACCTAATCTAACATGCCATAACATACCTTTGTTTAATTTTTCAGTGTGTAATTTTTCTAATTCAAATGACGTGAATAGGTTTTCTATTTTATCTGCATCTTCTAAACTATCTATGTCCACCAATTTGCAATTTAAATGTTTGAGTGACGGATTATTGTTAAGTGTTGAACTAGAATTGATTTCCTCCACAATGCACTCCCTCTCAAGTTCAGCATCTATATTTTTATTTTGGTTATTTTCGTCTAACACGTTAGATGATTTAACAGGAGTTTCCTCAGGGGCTTCATCAAGAGTGATCATTCTCGCGTTACATCTATAACTATGATATTTTTCCTCTAGAACATCAACGGGACTCTTAATACTTAGTGAAATTATCCAATTTGGTTTATTATAAACGCCTGACAAATACACATGATTTGTTTCTTTGTCAAAAACCTTCAAAATTCGATCATCTAAATATATACTAAAGCCTGCATCAACAAACTTTCTAAGCGACATTAGATTTTCACTAATATTTTCCGCAGCTAGAACGTTTGGCAGTACAACAATTTTACCCTGACTATCAAGTTTTTCTAGAACAAGGTCTCCTTTTCCATCTATTTTAATATCAGCAGTACTATTTTTATTCGCACTTCTAATAACCGCCCCAGGACATTCCTTAAAGTTGGATAGAATAAAGCCTTTATTTATTATATGTTCTGTTGCACCGGAATCAGCCAGGAAACTTATATTATGAGTTGAGGTATGAGTATTACTCTTACCTTGAATCGCTGCATGTGCTGCTGCAGTTTTGGCGTTATTCTGATGCTGATTGTGCGGGGTGTATGGTCTAGCGTTGGATTTAAAAGATCGACTTTTACCTCTAAATATACTCCCGCCTCTGTTTCCTTTATTATTTTTACCTCGATTATTACTATTTCTACCTCTGTTATTATTATTATTGCCTCTTCCTCTAAAAACTCCGTTGTAGCCGACTCCCTCTGAACTTTGACCCCTTTTGTAATTACCTCTATAAATATTATTTACGTACCCTCTAGATCCACAATTGCCTCGTCCATTGTTCGGACAGTTTCTTCCGTTGTGAGAAGCTATCCTTCGGCAAACATAACAGAACCACTCATTTGTTGTAATGAGTGGGCAGTCATCTTTTGCATGTCCATGCTTATTACACCGCCAGCAGGTATCAGTGCCACCACGGTGGCCAAAAGCAGTCTGAGCCGCGTCTGCTACGTTTGCCTGACCTCTAGCTTCTAGCTGTCTTCTATGTGCATCTGCTTCTAACTGCAACACGATAGATTTTATTTCATCTAAAGTCATGTTACTGTTTTCCGGATTTGCCTTTTTGATCGAATATGCAATGCTAAGTCCTGGGAATTCGTCTTTTACAGCCTGATAAAATGCACATCTTTTTTCAGCCTCGGTAAGAGGTAATTCCCTTCCACAAAGTTCTGACTCTTTTATTATAGCATTAAACCTGTCACAAAATTTATCGACCTTTTCGCTTCTACCTATTTTCATGGAATAGAGTTTAGCTCTTACTGTTACTTCAGAGACGTTATTCTCAAGTTTCTTTGCATCTTTTATTATTGACAAAATAGCAATAGGATCTTTAACATCTAAAATTTTCTTATGATAATCTTCTTCTAAATGATTGATAATTATGTCTCTTACTATTTTGTTTCTTCTAGACTTTTCAAATGTATCATATGGCTTAGCACAAGATGTTGAAGGATCTATTACATCTAAAAGATCTCTGGCTTCTAATTCAGAATTCAAATAGTCAAACCAAATGTTTAGGTTCATGTTTCTAGTTAATTTGTATTCACGTTTAAAATTATCTTTCGCTACATTATTGTTTTTCGCAATTGAGTGTGCTAACGCGCCTATAGATTCAGATAATTCTTTATTGACGTCAAAAGAATTTTCAGTAACTGATTCTCTCACAGTGTTAATTGAAACTGGTTGTACTACATTTTGAAAATTAATGTTTGTGTCATCTAATATATCCGAATTATTTGGTATTCGGGTTGCTAGATTAGTATTATTCAGAGGAGTCGAGCTATTCGGAGTTAACGAATTGTTGGGCTGTGAGTGATTTACCTCTAGACGTCTAATAGTAGCGTTTTCTAACTCTAAGTTCTTTTGAAGCACTCCTTCTGCTGCTGCCACGGCTGACTTCAGAGTTGCAGTCGCTGCTTCATTAGATCTCAGCATCTCTTCCACTTGATCTAATCTCTGTCTGAGCATGCTGTTTGCTCCTCTGTCGGACGGCAAAAGAAAAGCGGCTGGGGTGCTTGGTTCCAGTAAACCAGGGAACCTCTGATTTAATCTGCTGATTACTTCTAGAGTAACTCTGTCAATAACGGCATCAGCTATTCTGGCAGAGTCTCCAGATATCGTTTGGATATCCGGAGCAGGATTCATCAGAGGTTGTGCTGGGAAGCCATCGACACCTTCCGGAGTTATAGCATTTTCCTCAACCGAACCGGAGCTTCTTAGAGCCTCCTCAACAGAATTGTTGCTGTTTTCGTCATCTAAGTGGAATGAAAAATTTAATTAGTGTTTGGATTTTGTTTATAATTTCTATAATGAACTTCTAGTGGCGGATCCGCACATCTACTTCTAATATGGCTTCTAATTAAGTTTTTTTGGTTTTATATGCATATAATTTTATTTGATTGTTATCATTTTGTTATACTTACCATGAGAAACATGACCCTGTCTTAAAGTGGGTGGTGTTCCCGGAGGAGTGCCACTTTCAGCATGACCATATTTTGGGATATCTCCCATTTCGATGTGTTGTAGACCTCTAGATAAGTACCAAACATTTTAATTAGTTTCTCATGGATATAGAGCAGTTTCTTTTCCTTCCCATCAAAACGTTTGATAGTTCGGATTGGAAACGACGTTTGCTCTTTGCACACACTGGTACTCAACATGTGCACTCCACTAAAGGATCGTACAACGACAAAGTCCCTTAAGCAGGGCGCGATCGCACACATGCAGAGCACCAGGAATGTGTTCCAAGCTTACGTTAGTCTGTTGAGAGAAAAACGTTCGAACATCGCCCGAAATTTCTCGACTTTACAATTTAACTTTATGTTATGATTAGTTTCACTTCAATTTAGTACATTGTAACATTTTATAATTTCAACAACTTTCTAATTTTTCATCAATAGAGTGCGTCTAGTTTATTCTTCGAATACTTCTAATTTTTATTTAACTCCAATCATTCTAATTTATTCTTCTAGTTAATTCTATTTAATTTCACAATCACATCTTTTTTTTTCGAAATACGTCTATTTTATTATATCTCATCATTTAATGATTTGATGATTTGAAATTATATTTCAGTTATTTTGTTTTCGTTTTACATTCTTTCTTATAGTTTTTTTTCTGGAATTTCAGACACGCGCCGACCTGTTGTTTGGTTCTTTATGCCTTCTACACGTGCTCGGCTCGGTGTCATGACGTCGCGCCTTTGTTTTGCCGGTCGAGACATGCAACGCTTGCTATCGAACGAACTTCCAAAATTTTATTACGACAGCCTCTGAGAGAGAGCTCGCGATGCTACTTTCTTTAACTAGTTTTTTTATTACCAATCCTCTGATAACACTCACGCTTCTAAATCGCAGCCTTTTTTATTTATTTTTATAAAAAACTCACACTTCTGTAACACTCGCGATTTCGTCAATTTTCATCTACACTTTTCATCTAAATCACTCACTTTTACTTACTTGATTATTTATCAATCTTCACGCAGCGGAAGCGTGCTGGGGCCGATAACCTGTTGTAAGGAAAGGCGGAGGAAACCAAAACGCACACACGAGTTACAAAAGATGTTTATTACTGCTTTCTTCTAAGCGGTCGCAGAAGGAGTGAGCTCCTTGCTTATACAGAAACGGCGGCTCGATGGCCTAGTCTTGAATGCACAGTACACACACAAAGCACGCGCATGCGCATACATAGGAAATGCTGAGCAAGTTGATTTTAACATTAACAATTTAATTTAATGTTATATAAAAAGAAAATTATGATGGGGCGTACAAATCCCAATGATTACAAATCTGAACCTTCACGAATAGGTTTTACAGTGAATGGGATAAAAGCTGCAGATAAAATTATGATAATATGTAATTAATACTTTTAGTTCTTTTTTGTGTTATAGCAGATATTTTCCTTAATTTTCCTAATACTTTAATTTTTTTTCTTTATTTTACATAATACCTACTTTTCTTCTTTTCTACTCAACTCCGCTTTTATATTTTTTCCTTTCCTTTCTACCTAATTAGAGGAGTTAGGAAGGGAAAGTAAAAAAAGACAAATTAAACCAAAACTACTACAACTCGTTCGCTATAGCAATGTATTGAGCTACATCTACATCTAAATTCTAGATTCTAGAAAATAAAATTCAAAAACTGACTTAGGTCACTTAGGTTAAGAATAGCTATTGGAATAATACAGAGCCATATTATACATAAGAACACAAGGCAACAATAGCGCATCGCGAGTTGATGGCTAGGAAGACCACGTCACATTTAAGCAGCAACATCCATGCCAAGCTAAACCCCAAAGAAAAAAGATCGTTACATATTGGTTTATATTTTGAAAACGTTATAGTATAGTATGTTTAAGTTTACTTTTACAATTTTTATTCTTATATTAAATATTAATATACAACAATGAGTTCTGTTCTCACGGATTACTTTAAAAGTAATACATTCATATTATCTGAAAAAATTGGATGTTGCTTAATATGTTGCTTACGATTTTGTGGAGTAGATTTTTTAAAGTCGTTTGATTCTCCAATACATTTTTATTCAGAGGTAATTTAAACATTATTGATAGATTGCTATATTTTAAGATTGTTCTATAAAGTTCTAAATTGAAGAAATATCATAATTAAGGTGAAGGTATTTTATAGATGAATCCAAAATTACATTAAGTGGTTTCGTTCAAAATAATGTCTATTTTACTCATGTAGTTTACATCGATTTGTAGTTATTTTATGAAGTTCAATGTCAAATTTCATGGTAGTTGGATAATCATTAGTTAAGTTATAAATTCTTATAATTTTTTCTCTAAAAACCTATAACAAATTAGTTTTCATATATTTACAGCGACTATATATATTATCTCAAATGAAAGTCATTACACACTCACATACACATATGTATTAATCTATAATTAAATCATTTTGGAATCCAACTGACAATTCAGTTTTATCCTATTAAAATCTTAGCCAGATTCATTAACTTTAAACTATATTGATATTGTTTTAATGAATCAACAGAAAACTCAGAGAAAATAAATTTTGTAAAAATAGTTACTGTGTATTATAATACATTTATTCTCTGTTTTTGTGATTTAAAACATAAATTTGATCATTTTATATATTATATTACGTATTTTTAAATTTATTAGAAATAACAAACTTTCTTATCCTATGATCAGAAATTATTTTTCTCTTAAAATTTGAATAAAGAGCCACCTTTACTTGGGAATCATTTGTTGAACCAAATTCTTTTTCTAATTTGAATGTGTTCTTATAAGTTGGAGTAAAGTTATAAGAAAGTTTTCTTATTTGTTAGTTTGAAGACAATATTATGATTATTATTGCAATAATAATCAGCAGAGTATCGCATTCAAGTCTTTCAAAATAATTTCATGACGTGAATGACAATTGAGATTATTTTAATGTAATTAATCTAATAATCAATTTATTGGTTTTTTAAGAAAGATTTTCTACGTTATATACCACTAAAGAATTATAATGTTTTATTGAATATTTATATTAATTTGTTAAATCATTTGTTCCTATTAAATAAAAATGTCTCTGTATGTCCTTATTGCATAAACATCATATATTAATAAATTTTATAGCTGTTATAAGTTATAGAAAAATATTTTTGAAATTATTTACATTATAAAATTTTGATTTATGTTAAAATTTAAGGTAGTTTTTAACGTATTAGTTAGTTTAGCCAATGCTTCTACAAATTTGATATAGTTTGATTAAAATTTACATTAAATTATTATAGATTCACTGTCTGAATAGTTTCATTTTAATCTATTTCAATTTTTAGAAATATTTTCTACAAATTTTGTAATAAATGTAAAGTTGTATAGAAAAATTTCATAGATATTTCCATAAAATTTGTATTTGTATTTTGTGTTAATTCACAATTTTTTATAAATTTACTTTTAATAAGCAATATTCAGCTACATACTATCACTGGCACACAATTCTACTGTTTCTCATTTTCAAATTAGAAATTTCAATCGAAGTTGTAAAAATTTTGAAACTTTATTATATGTTTGAAATAAAGGAAACTGCACCAAGAGAGATGTGGGAAGATCAAAGTTAGTTTTGATATTTGAGAAATATTAATATTTATGTTTAAATAGTTAAATAAATTATAAGTTTGAATATTTGTTGTGAACTTTTCTTTTCTAATTTTTGAACTGCCAAGTATTATTTCATTGAATAAGATTATTAGGAAATATATTATTAAAAAAGTAACCATATAAAACAAAGAGATTAAATCAGACTTCAAATTCAAGCCATATTGGTCTTTTACTGAATAACATTATTAATAATTGAAATTCATTAATATGTGGAATTGATCTCAATCTATTTCAATATCTTTTTAACTCATTCAATGCTTAATCGAATTTGCTCGATTTAAAGTCTATTGATTTGTTTTAATATTAATTTTTCATATTAAACTAGTGAATTTTGCAAATCTAAGTCTATTCAAAATCAATTAACATATATCTGTGGTATATTTTATCGTGTATTTAATCCTTTTTTATGTTCTTAGCAATTAAAATATCGAAATGTAAAAATTAGATTCATTTTTTCTCTTATCTTTCTGTTCTCAATCACTAATTCTTTTCTTTTTTCATTACACTGTTTTTTGCTTCATTTATCTAGTTGTTCATAAGTATATAACTATATTAAAATATTGATATGGTAAATAGAACGTAAAAACAGAGTGTAATGGTTGATTTGCGACCTTACTTTCTTACATTATAATTTTTTTGTAAAGTTTGGATTGTAAGAAAGCATATAACCATACCGAATTCCGTGTGGCTGTGGAGATTGCATGTCGGTCTCTGAATGGTTCTTAGTGCGAACCTGTGCGGCTATAGTGAATATAATATACCTATTTAATATATAATAGACATTTTTCAGAGAAATAAATTTTTATTATATTTGGTATACAAGGTTTGGGAATCTGTGATCACAATTTTGAACTCAAATTTTTTAAAGTGAAAATATAGGCTCTAAATCAGCGACAAAAATCTTGATTTTTTTTTAATTTGTTTTTTGTAAATTTCTATATAGCGGGTTTTAGGGTTTCTGTTTAAGAATTTAAATTAAGATTTAGAGAAATCAACATGGTGTATCCAAGACCATAGCAAAAAATTAAAAATATCACTGAAACGTTTTTTTAATTCTATATCTATTATTTTTGGGGTCGCTAATTACGAATCTGAACTCAGATTTGTAGAATGCAAAATAATAGATCAGAGGTATCGCCTAACATTGAAATATTTAAACATTTCTGAAAATTGGAAAACGGTGTATTTGAGATTGCTAGTTACGAACATGAACCAAAATTACAAAAATTTAATTTGAAAATTTAATTCTTAAATCTGACACATGTTGGTTCATAGCAGTAGATTTCGTTGCAGAACTCTACTGTGAAATGGTCCTTCAAGGGATTTCCGTGATTTATCGGTACGTTGGATCTCCGATAGGTGCTCTACCATAAGAGCCTTCG